TTTTAAAACTATTGATGTTAATAAAACGGCAGACTTATGGGGGATTTCCGTTAAAGTTATTTTATCTATAATAGATATATTAGCACCTTATCTAGCCACTATATTTAATATAAGCGTCGAATCTGGTGTGTTTCCTGATTTAATGAAACAAAGTAAAGTCATACCTATATTTAAATCTGGTAGTACATTAGACCCCGCCAATTTTAGACCACGTTTGTACTACCAACATTAAGTAAAATTTCTGAAAAAATTTTTTTAAATCAGATGTTAAGTTTATTTAATAGTAATAAATTGCTATATAAAAGTCAATTCGGTTTTACAAGGGGTCGCTCAACAACTGACGCTGGAGTTGAGCTTATTAAACATTTTTTGTGCATTGGAGAATTCAGAGGATGCTTTGGGTATATTTTGTGACCTTTCTAAGGCCTTCGACTGTGTTCACCATGAGACATTAATCAGTAAGCTACAATACTATGGTCTCAAGAACACAGCGCCTATAAATATTTTTTCATATTTAAGTAATAGAAAGCAGAAGGTTATTATCAATGGTAAAAGTTCTTCCGGGTCACCTGTACTAATGGGTGTTCCTCAGGGCTCGATTATCGGCCCATTCCTGTTTCTGGTGTATATTAATGACTTACCTCACCGTGTAGGGGATATTCATGATATAGTATTATTTACTGATGATACTTCCTTGATTTTTAAACTAAAACGTCCATCATTTATATGTGACGAAGTGAATAATGCTATATCAAAATTAGTGCATTGGTTTAACGTTAATAATCTGCATTTGAAGGGAAATAAAACCAAATGTGTTAAATTTAAAACAACGAATGTTAAAAATCTGAATACCAATGTAATTTTCAATGGGGAGGAATTGATCCCTATTGTATCCACTGTTTTTCTTGGCATCACTCTTGACGCAAAGCTGCAGTGGGGCCCCTATATATCCAAATTAGCAAGCAGACTAAGTTCTGCAGCCTATGCTGTAAAAAAGATTAGAGGTCTCACTAGTGTCGAGACAGCTAGATTAGTTTATTTTAGTTATTTCCATAGCATAATGTCTTATGGGATTTTGCTATGGGGAAATGCGACTGATTCAGAAATTATTATTGTTTTACAGAAGAGGGCCATTAGAGCTATTTACAATCTAAAACCGAGAGAGTCTCTTACAGAAAAATTTAAAGAAATTAATATATTAACTTTGGCCTCTCAGTATATTTACTAAAATTTAATGTACGTTCACAAAAACAAAAAAATATATAGCGCGAAAGTAAATATTAAAGGGTGTCGAGGTAGACCGAGACTAACTTTCTTATTTATTTTTTTATTTATTTATTATTGGACAACACAACAGATTACATCATGACTTAAAGCTATAACTTACAATAATAATAGTGTAATACAAGACATAATCCTTATACGTGTTATCACGGCATGCCAAGATTGAGAAACAAACATTTTAAATAAAATTGCTTAAACTAACAGGCTTATAAATCCAACAAATTAAGAACTATTATTTTAGTGAATATCAATCAAAGGGGATGTCCTTGAGAATGCCTTTCAAAACAGTTCTAAAGTGAACCAGACTAGAGTTGAAAATGTCAAGGTTGGTAAATCGAAGGCTATAATTCTCATAAAGTCGACATAACCTTGATAGGGGTTGATTCCGGGAGATATTATTTCGCGATAGGGGTATGTCAAATATTTTTTTCATAGGTCTACGTGGGTTGTGTTTTATGTTAAAATTTAACAGTTCCAAAACCTCGGGACTGTCCAGTTCCGAGTGTATTATTTTGTGTAGGTTAACTACGTCCAATTCGTCGCGACGGAGGTGAAGTGGTGTCATGTCAAACTCTTTAAGTCTCTCAGCATATGACCGGAGTCTTCTATTGTTGCCGGTACGTAAGCTCAATAAACGCAAAAACTTGGATTGGATCGATTCAATGCGCTCAGAGTGCACTGCGTAGTATGGGTTCCATATTATTGAACTATATTCTAAATTACTTCGAACCAGACTGTTATATAACAAAATTAAACTTTGAGAGTTCCTGAAGTGCCTGCTCTGTCTGGTAACGAAACCTAGTACCTGGTTAGATTTTTTGGCTATGAGATCGTTGTTGAGAATGTTGGCGGAAACTAAGCTGTTCGTCAAACAAGACCCCGAGATCCCTGATAGACGACACACGAGACAGAGTTTGTTGTTCTATGATATAATTGTTTGATACCTTGTTTTTTTTAAAACAAGGTATCAAACAATTCTTTCGAAGACCATGTAAGCAAATTGCTCGAAGAGGGGAGGGTCAAGAGTACTCGGATACCTAGACGTGCATGTATGAAGAAGATAATGAATCTGAAAGAAACGAAAGAGGTATGTAAGGATCGTGACACTTGGCGATCTGTTCTCTCTGGGTCCCCCATCAGGGATTGTGCGTGAAGGGACTCCATCGCGCCCACTCGACTTGCTGACGTCCAGGGAGAAGAGTGCTTTGCGATTCGAGCGCTATGTAAACCGCACATCCGGCATGGAGCAATCACATCGCGGGATGGTCGGTGGTGTGTTCCCCTCGTCATCTAGAGTCGAGTTGGATGCAAAAAGAGAGCTCAACAGATCGGCTTACTCCTTTGCGGCATGGGCCAGTGAGTCGTCCTCTCTGTGCAAAGATGGATGAGATGGCTGACAGAAGTTCCCTAGGACAGCCTTGGCGAGAGACCAGAATGCACGGGTTCCCGAAGGAAGGCGAACTAGCTTCTCACCAATTCTGCCGATGTGCTCAGACCTAGCCTTGGCAATGACGCTTTTGAAGGACCTGGAGGCGGAATTATACTTCTTTTTAAGCGCGCTCGTTTAAAGTCCGCCGTTGCCGGTCCCAAGCCCGGATGAGAAAGGAGGAGGGGACGAATCCGCCGGAGAGAGTGGGTGTATCCGGTGGACTAACACACCCACCTGCGCTAGGACCTGCGCAGTCGAGCGCCGTACGCGGGGATGAAGGAGTCCTGGAGGGTTGAGCCGATCGTCGCTGGGGTATATAGTGGCGAGAGGCAACACGCCCTCTTTGGTCCGGATTTCAAGCTAAACGGTGGCCCTATCTGCTAGCCACAGATAGGGAAATGGCCAAGCGCCCCGTCAGAGGGTCGCAGGCGAGGGATGTGGGGGCTGCCTAGTCTTCCTGAAAAGGGGGCTGGGTGGTGGTAAAGGCCATGCTGACGGAGCAAGTGACAGTTTATTGGGGTGGTGGGGATGGGCCTTGTCAGCCCAATCTACCAGCTGGATCGAGCTCCCGATGTCGCGCTGTGAGCCAACTTCGCGTCCCTATATTCTCCCGGTAATCCTAACGCCTGAAATTCCTTTTGCTTCTAAAGTAGGGCGTTCCCAAAGGTGCGGGCTCCATGGAGGGTGGGAAGCCGGGGGGATGAATTTTAAAAAACACAAATTATGGACAATTTAAGGCCCAATAAGAAAGAGGGAGAGGTGTCAGAGGTGCTTACCAGAGACACCAACGAACAAAAGGGAACCGTCACTAAACCGACGGTTCCACGGACAGTACCGTCCAGCGTAGGTGCCCCCACCAAAGGGATAACCTCGCTGAACGTTTCCAAAACCAGTTCCAAGGAGCTGGAAGAGAAAAAGAAACAAGAGCCCGCAAGTGATAAAACTGCGGAGCCACTACGGACTGACGACCTTTTCTCTGCTGCCTGGCAAGTGGTGAGCCGTAAGGGGAAAGGCAAGGCACCCAAAAAGGTGACTTGCCGACCTGACGGACCATCAGGAGGGTCTATCCCTGCAGGCAGTAGTGGAAAGGCCAAAAAGAAGAACAAGAAGCAGCGGTAAAAAGGCCGTAGAGAACGAGCCGCTTTGGCTGCTTCAGATACCAAAACCAAGGAGGCTGGGCAAGCTACTGCGACTGGGGTGCTTGGCGCTGGAATCAGTAGCCGCGCTGAAGCTGGGAAGGATAAAAATCCAGCCCAAGTGGAAGTCGCGGACGCGGGAACCAGCTCTAGGATATCCGCCAGGAAGCAGCGAGCGGCCAAGCGTCCTGGGAAGAAGGAAAGAGCAGCCAAAAGGATGCTGGAAGAGTCCACCTCGCCTAGAGGTGAACACAAAAAAGTGCGACTCGAACAGCAACCAAAGACTGCAAGAACGAGCTACGCTTCCGCTGCTAAAGCAGATTTGGGTGTGGCCTTAACGTGTGCGCGTTCAGGTCACATTACGAAGGAAGTAGCAGACGACATCCTTGTAGCAATACAGAGGAAGATGATCAGCGAGGCCTGGAGTAGCCAGGACCCTGATGCGTCGGGCCCAGTTTTTAGGGGCAAACCCGTTTATACGGAAGGTGTCCTGAAACTGTGGTGCGACGATCAGAAGGCTCTGGACTGGTTGAAGGGGAACATTGCTACCCTCGACCTTAAATCCAGCACCTTGCTGACAATAAAGAAACAGTCAGAGATACCACAAAGAGTCAAATGTGGTATCCTTATCCCTGATGCCCAGGGGGCCTGGAAAGACTCACGCGACATTGGTCGCGTGTTGGCGTACCAGAACCGCTGGGTTAACATCAGGGACTGGCTGTTACTCAAGGCAGATAAGCAGACGGACGGGTGGTTCCTCGTTGTTTCGGTGCCGGAGGATCATATCCCGACCCTGATGAAGGCCGGACGCCGTCTCGCATGTGTATGCGGGGCGGTATACGTAAAATTCCAGGGTCGTGGAGGCAAATTCTTTGATACTCCACCGAGCAAAGAGGTAGAAAACAACCCGGAAGTTATGGATACCGGAGCCATAGTTACCGGTACAGCGGAATCACTGGAGGCCAAGTCCAGTGAAGAAACGGCCTGCACAATTGAGCCGAAGCCCCCAGTGGAGATTGGGCTCAGCGGCAGCTCACTGAGTGACGAGGAGGACTGCATTTTGCCGACCACCTCCGACTCGGTGGCTGACGATGAAACCCGAGATCTTCTGGCAGGCCTATTTTTGGGCGGGGACGGGGAGGACGCGATCAATGATGGCGTGCCCTTCGTCCAAAACTAGCCTAGTGCAGGCCAACCTCCACCACAGCGTAACTGCGTCGGCTCAATTACGCAAGTGGTTGGAGGTTCAAAGGACTGCCATAGCCTTAATCCAGGAGCCGTGGGTTGGGGCTGGTAAAATTAAAGGCCTAAACAACCTAAAAGGTAAGTTATTCTACAGCTCTGAACACGACAAGCCTAGAGCGTGTATTTACACTACTAAAGATATCTGTGCACAACCTTTAACAGATTTCTGTTCTAGAGACATGTATGCCGTAGCAATACAGTACACACAGGAGAGTAGATTAGTCGTCGCCTCGGTCTACATGCCGGAGGAAGACACTCCTCCCCCTCATGACCTCAGCAGGCTGGTGAACTTCTGCGAGAGGACCGGACTAGAGGTTGTGATCGGGACGGACTCCAACGCACATCATCCCCTTTGGGGAATGGAAAAACCAAATGAACGAGGTAAAGTTTTAGTTGAATATTTATTTAGTACTAACCTAACCATTTTAAACATAGGTTCTGAACCTACTTTCATAAACAAACGCTGTCGCACTATAATCGACCTCACACTTGCAACAGAAGGAGCAGCCAAACTAATTACGGGATGGCATGTGTCAAGAGAGGCCTCATGCTCAGACCATAGATGGATCTGCTTCGCACTACAGGTCGATATCCCCTCTACACCACCATGGAGAAATCCCCGCAAGACAGATAAAACAAAATACCTAAATAGGCTGACGTCTTTGCTAGCGGATTTTGAGGGGATACATACTATAGCAGATCAGTCGCTCCTAGAAGAACAGGTAGCAGCTGTTACTAAGGCCATGATAGACAGCTACCATGAATCATGTCCAGAAATCACTCCACCAAGACATGCCGAGGTAAAACAACCGTGGTGGGGTAAAGAACTCGATAGAAAACGTAAGAAGGTAAGAAAAGCTCTAAATAGGGCCATGAATACCTCAATGGATGAAGACTGGCTATTATATAAGAAAGCTAAGTCTGAATACAAAAAATGTATCAGGTATCGACGCTCGATTGGGTGGCGTAAATTCTGTGGCTACATAGAAACCTGCAAACAAGCAAATAGGATTAGGAATATTCTAGCTAAACAGAACACGTCGGGATCCATGTCTCTAAAGAAACCCGACGGTAGCTACTCAACATCGCCGGATGAAGCCCAACGCATCCTAATTGAAACGCACTTCCCAGGTTGCTGCGTAACCCAGGAGGCAAACCGGCATGACGACATACTGACATCAACAGCAGAAGACTGGAATTTAGCACAGAGAGTGGTAACGATGGACAAAATCCATTGGGCCATTCACAGTTTCCTCCCCTATAAGGCGGCAGGACCCGACGGCATATTCCCGGCACTCCTACAGTGGGGGGGTAAAGCCCTAATAGTCAGACTTGCTGCCATAATGCGAGCCTGTCTTGCTCTTAAATATGTTCCTAGGGGATGGAGGGAAGTGAAAGTTACATTCATACCCAAACCAGGTAAGAGCGACTACACTGACCCTAAATCCTACAGGCCCATTAGCCTCACATCCTTTCTCCTAAAGACGATGGAGAGGATGTGTGAAAGGGAATTAAGGGGGTCGGCGCTAATGAACTTACCACTACACGACAAGCAACACGCCTACAGTCTAGGCAAATCAACAGAATCGGCCCTTCATAAGGTAATTACAAAGATTGAAGAGGCCATCCAAAACAAAGAAATATGTCTAGGTTCTTTCATAGATATAGAAGGTGCTTTTGACCGAACGAACTTCTCCAGCATAAAAGGTGCACTCGGTAGACACAAAGTTGAACCGGCACTGATCGACTAGATAGTTTACATGCTCAGTACACAAATAATAAAGATTGCTGGTGAATCTCAACCAATCCAAATTAAGAAAGGCTGCCCGCAGGGTGGGGTTCTCTCACCTCTCCTGTGGAATATGGTCATTAATGAACTCATCAGCAAATTAAATGACAATCACTTCTATACAGTAGGTTATGCTGATGACCTGACAATACTGGTCTCTGGAAAGACAGCAAGCATAGTGTGCGACCTGACCCAAGCGGCTCTCCGTATAGTGGAGAGATGGTGCAGGGAACACGACTTAACCGTCAATCCAAATAAAACGGTTTTAGTTATGTTCACACAAAAACGAAAGCTGAATAACTATCATCCTCCAAGTCTTTTTAGCACAAAACTCCAGCTATCCTCTGAGGTAAAATATTTAGGTCTTACCTTGGACAGCAAACTTAACTGGAATAAACACATAGAAAACAAAATCAACAAAGCTAGTATAACTTTCTGGCAATGCAGAAACATGATTGGCAAAAGATGGGGATTGACGCCAAAAATCATACTGTGGCTTTACAAAACTGTAATTCGGCCCATGATCACATACGGCGCTCTGGTATGGTGGACCAAGACAAATGAAGCCACCATAATTAAGAAGCTTCAGCGCTACCAGAGACTGGCATGTATGGCTGCCACAGGCTGCATGAGAACTACGCCAACAGCAGCCTTAGAAGCGATGCTGGAGCTAACTCCGCTTCATCTACATATACAACAAGAAGCGACTTTAGCTGCCATCAGACTCAAGACCCTAAATCTTTGGAGTAAGAATAGTGTCCCTCATACAGGCATAATTGATAGAATTCACTCAAAAATTCCTATCCTACAAGCCAAATACGATAGGATTCCTAAACAATTTGTTTTCGATAAGAAATACAAGATACAGTTAAATGAAAACAGCCAGCCGGAAGGATTAAGCCCAAAAGAGCTTAGAATTTTCGCCGATGGTTCTAAAACAAATGAAGATGTAGGTTCTGGAGCTTTCTCTGAAGACCTCAATATTCACATATGCACACCACTGGGTACCTATAACACGGTCTTTCAGGCGGAATGTATGGGTATCATTCAAGCGGCCTTAGCAATAGATGCTAGGAAGGATAATGACTTCCCCATCAGAATACTGACCGACAGTAGGTCGGTACTCTAAGCCCTGAGATGCAATGTGGTGAACTCGGGACTAATATATGAATGCCATCAACGATTAAATGAGGTATGTAAAAACAACAATGTGACCCTGCAATGGATAAAGGGACACAGTGGATCCAGAGGCAACGATGCAGCAGACAAACTGGCTAGAAGAGGATCGGCTTTGGCCACTATAGGGCCGGAACCAATCATACCAATCCCCTTTGGTAACGTTTGTTCACTGGTACGTAGACACTTCACTAATCAACACGCTCAGCTTTGGAAAAATCTAGTAGACTGTAGACAAGCCAGGGATGCCCTGCCTGAAATAAACAGTCGCTTAACAAAAGTTTTAATGAGACTGAACAAGCCGCAGATTAGGATAGTAACAAGTGCTATCACAGGACACGGCACCTTTAACAAACATTTATTTACTATAGGTGTTACAGATAGTCCCCTGTGCAGGGCATGTATGGGGGAAGAAGAAACGGCGGCCCACGTGCTACTGAAATGTCCGGAGGTCGCTACATACAGGGCTAAACATCTCGGCACGCCGGGATCACTCCCCGAAGTTGCATGCAACATCAAGGGCCTGTTGAGCTTCTTCGGAGAGATCTCATGGCTCGAATAATCACATTATTCCTGTCCACACGCAAAATACGCGCATAGACGTGGAGTTGCGGAAAACAGCCCGTCGTAAACTAAACTAAACTAAACTAAGCGCGCTCGTGTTGACATCCCGAGACGTTGATGCGTCAGCCCAGGCCCGGTGGCACTCCTGCTTATACCGTGATGCTATTTTACAGGAGCGACCAAACCATGGCTGGGATCTGCCTCCGATGGGCACCACAGAGGTTGGAATAAAAAGTTCCATACCATGAAGTGCCACATCAGCAACAGAATCGGCAACAACGCTGGGATCTTCCAGCGAGAAGCAAACCCGCCCCCAAGGGTAGGATGCAAAAAAAGACTGCATCCCGTCCCAATCAGCTGACCTATAGTGCCAAACACGGCGGCAAGCTGCAAATCGCAACTGCGATTGGAGCGTGAGTGTCCTTAATTGCTATATATAAATACATACGAAAATTACATACGACAACGAAAACGACATAGCCCAACGGATTAGTAAGCTGAAGTGGCAATGGGCCGACCATGTAGCTCGAAGAACCGACAACACATCAGGAAAAAAGGCTCTGATACTGGAGGGGGAGTGCAGGTCAACCCCCCACTAGATGGAGTGACGGTCTTTTAATATATGCAGGAAGTCGATGGATGCAGGTGGCTCAGGACCGTGCTTTGTAGCATTATTTGGAGGAGGCCAATGTTCAGCAGAGGACTTGTGAACGGCTGTATTGATATATGTATATATATACATATATATTTTGCCATGTAGTGGCGGTTAAAAATATCCACTACCCCATATCTTCCCGTGGGTGTCGTAAAAGGCGCAAAAGTGAAACAGGCAGGAGATGGGCTGCAGCATCTTCCTGGTAACGGCAAAAATACAATAAAAAACTGCGGTGGCCAACCCGCTCGCCAAGCGTAGCATCTATGGCAATATACCCCCCATGATGAAAGTTACGAAGAGACGGTCCCCAGTCCCCGGCGGCCCCGCTGTTCCTGGCTACGGTGGCGACAATGGTAACGGCGGGTTAGGGGGTGCTAAGAATCTCCGGTGGAGGTTCGGTTGCCACCTACGACGACTCGACCTGGCAACATACAATGCACGCACCTTGAGGACTGACGAGAAGATTGTGGAGCTGGAAGAAGAGATAGACAAGTTACGCTGGCATATTATAGGATTATCCGAAGTCCGAAGAGAGGGGAAGGACACGGTAATCCTCGAATCCGGCAACTTGCTCTATTACCGGGAGGGCGACGATTTATCGTCCACAAGTCTCTCGTTAACAACCTTGTAAAGATTGAGAGTGTGTCGACGAGGGTTGCGTACCTTATACTCAGAATCACCAATCGGTATTCGCTGAAGGTCAAACAGGTTTACGCACCAACCTCGGCACACCCCGATGAGGATGTGGAGGAAATGTATGAGGATATCTCTAGAGCCATGCAGTCCTCCAAAACCCAATATACTGTGTTAATGGGAGACTTCAATGCAAAACTAGACACAAAAGAGAACGGTGAGCTGAAAGTGGGGAAATTTGGAATAGGGCAACGGAACCCAAGGGGCCAGCAGCTGGCCGACTTCATGGAGAAAGAGGGACTCTTTATGATGAACTCTTTCTTCCAGAAGCGGCCCCACTGGAAGTGGACCTGGTCGAGCCCCAACGGTTCGACAAAAAATTAGATTGACTTCATTATGGCGACCAGATGACAACTGTTCAGTGATGTCTCAGTGATCGCGAGGGTGAAAACCGGCAGCGATCAGCGAATGATGAGAGGCACACTGAACCTAAACGTTAAGTTGGAGAGGTCTCGTCTAATGAAGTCAACGCTCCGTCCCCCTCGTGCTCTAATCCAAAGTCCCGAAACCTTTCAGCTCGAGTTACAAAATCTTTTTCAGTGCCTAGAAGACTGCAATGAAGTGGACGATTTGAATGACAAGCTCGTGGAAACTGTCCATGCGGTCGGAGCTAAGTTCTGCAAGACCCGCCGCAGAAGAACACAAAAACTCTCCGATCACACTCTTATCCTCATGGCTGTTAGACGGGAGATGAAGCTACATTCTTCAATAGATTTGACAGCATACAGGCATCTGAACAGACAGATTTCCAAATGCATGCAGCGGGACGCAACTTCAATACGGCTCGTATTGAAGAAGCGATCGAGCGGAACCAAGGCTCCAAAGTCTTTGCCAGAGATCTGTCTGCCAGAAAGAGCCAACTGTCAAAGCTGAAGACCGAATGTGGCAGCATCGTTTCCGGAGCAACTGTGATTTTGAGTGAGATTGAGAGGTTCTATGGGCAGCTGTACACGTCATCTTTGGAGCCGCACGCAAGTGTGAGGAACGATCCAAGAGCGAGTTTTATCCGACATTATTCCGATGATATCCCGGACGTCAGTCTGAGCGAGATTAAAATGGCTCTCCAGCACCTTAAAAACGGCAAGGCCCCAGGCGAGGATGGAATTACAGCGGAGCTTCTGAAAGCGGGTGGAAAACCAGTACTTGAAGTCCTTCAGAAGCTTTTTAATTCCGTCCTACATGTTGGCATTACACCGGAGGCGTGGAGCAGAAGTGCGGTGGTCTTGTTCTTCAAGAAAGGCGACAACGCTCTCTTGAAGAACTACAGACCGATTTCCCTTCTGAGCCGCGTCTACGTGCTGTTTTCGAGAGTCATTACGAATCGTCTCGCGCGCAGACTTGACGACTTCCAGCCTCCCAAACAAGCCGGTTTCCGAAAAGGCTTTAGCACCATAGACCACATACATACCCTTCGGCAAATTGTACAAAAGTCAGAGGAGTACAATTTGCCACTATATCTGGCGTATGTGGACAATGAGAAAACCTTTGATTCCGTGGAAATTTGGGCGGTGCTACAGTCCCTTCAGCGGTGCCAAGTGGAATGTCGGTATATCGAAGTGCTTATGTGCTTGTACAGTAGGGCTACGATGGCTATCCGAGTACAGAACCAGAGTACGAAACCTATCCAATTGCAGAGAGGTGTAAGACAGGGTGACGTCATATCCCCGAAACTCTTTACCGCTGCACTGAAAGATGTTTTTAAGCTTCTAGACTGGAAAGGATACGGTATCAACATCAATGGCGAGTACATCACTCACCTTCGATTTGCCGACGATATAGTCCTTATGGCAGAATCGTTGGAGGACCTAAGCACTATGCTCAATGACCTTAATTGTGTTTCCCAACGGATAGGTCTTTAGATGAACATGGACAAA